TACATAAACTATAACATATATACTATATACTATATACTATATGTTATATGTTATATACTATATGTTATATGTTATATACTATATACTATATACTATATGTTATATGTGATATACTATATGTTATATGTTATATACTATATACTATATACTATATGTTATATGTTATATACTATATACTATATGTTATATGTTATATGTTAATATACTATATACTATATACTATATGTTATAGTTTATAGTTATAGTAATATGTTGTAGTTTATAGTTATAGTAATATGTTATAGTTTATAGTAATATGTTATAGTATATAGTATATAGTATATAACATATAACATATATTATATAGTATATATATATGTTATATGTTATATACTATATACTATATGTTATATGTTATATGTTATATATTATATACTATATACTATAACATATTACTATAACTATAAACTATAACATATAAAGTATAAACTATAATATATGTTATATGTTATATATTATATACTATATACTATATGTTATATGTTATATATTATATACTATATGTTATATGTTATATGTTATATGTTATATGTTATATACTATATGTTATATGTTATATGTTATATACTATATGTTATATGTTATATGTTATATACTATATACTATAAACTATATTCAAGGATAAGAATATATTTTGCGTAGAAGTTAACGCGATTGCCTAGCGGCAGGATGGTATTGAAGTCAGCCTTGAGGGTTTGAAATGCTCACACTTGAGTTCGGTTCTCCTCAAGTGCAAACCTTCAACCATTTTTTTTTTCAAGTAAAACGTATTCTAAAACGTATTTATAAAACGTATTTATTCGATAATTTTTTTTTTTTTTTCAGAAAACGTATTATTAAAATATGTTTTTAACTGTAAGTTTAAAAAAACACTGGTTTTTTTAATTGTTTAACCAAAAAATACATGTTTTAAATATTCAAAACAACCAACTAAATCAAAATTACACTAACAAATCAAGTAATCTAACGTAAATACCATCCAACCAATTCCAAATAAATAATCCAAACAACTTCAAATAAAATAAACCATCCAAAGAAAATCATCCACAACATGAAGTCTCATCCACAAAATAATCTAATTCCCGCACCGATCACGAAGTCTAGTCCTATCGGTGCGAGGATGTGAGGACGGACACTCATCCACAACATGATCTGGATCACTGCATCTAGTGCACTGTCCCCTATTCCTCCTGCGGCGTGCCCGACGATCCACATGCGATATCGTCTCGTTTGCACGCGACCAGGTCCAGGCTTCAAGATCATCCTCTCCCAATGTGGTATCAATTTCCACTCGACCGGCGCCCATGTATCCGGATTACCAATCGGAGCAAAACTCCAATTACTAAATTGAGCAATCCATGTCTCTGTCCAAAAATACTCACTGTACAACAGTTTTGGCTCAGTCCCAACTTCACGACAGACGGCTAACGCATGAGAGCATGGTTTCCTATGCGTCTGCCACTTCCGACAGCTACAACGTTTTCGGTTGTAATCAACCTTATACCTGTAATAATTACCCAGTGATTTATATATATACAACATGAAAAATTTGAATGGCCCAAAAAAAAAAAAAAACATATACTTACTTGTTTTGTCTTCTTCCACTAGCCTGTAAACTGGTTTCCACTTCGTACATGGAGCTGTCGACGTCCCTAACTCCCACACTATGAGTTGCGACTGTCTGCTCCAATTGCGGAAATGCGTTAAAGTGCTCCCTAGCAATGAGACTCCTGCATCTCGTGGACTTGTTTTGTTCCTGTTGAAACAAATCTAGAGTTTTATGAAATGTGGCGTCTACCAAAGCTCTGCACGACAGGAACCTAACCCCTTTCAGGACGTTGTTGTAACTCTCCGACATATTCGTTGTCAATGTGCCCCATCTGCGTCCTTTATCTTTAAGCAGGGTCCACTTGTTCAAAGGAATTTGAAAAAGGTAATTGTGTGCTTCGAAATTCAATTCCAACATTCGTTGTTCTGTCTCTCGAAACTTTCACTCCGACAACTGCGAACCCAATTCCCAACACCAAGTCCGGATTTTTTTACTACTGAACCTACTCACCACGTTGCTTTGAAGGTGTCGAAGGCAAATCCGGTGATACGCAGCGGGTTCTTGCCAATCTGCTAATGATTCAATGGCACTGAGTAAGCTCGCATCCCTGTCGGAAAGAACGCAGATCCGTCTCTGGAAGACTACATATTGCCGCAAATTCCTAAGGAAAAATGACCAACTGTCCGTGCTTTCTTCATCCACAAGCGCATACGCGATTGACAATAGCCGATTATTCGCAGTCTGTGCTATAGCCACAAGCAATTTTTCCTTGTACGATCCACGCAAATGTGTGCTATCGATGCTAATAACCGGCGGGCACATTTGGAAAGTTTGAATGGCGAGACCAAACACCCAGAATACAAATTTGAATTGTCTGTCTCGAAGGTGTCGCGCCATTTCCCTACCCAACCATTCCCACTCTACAACTGTGAAGGGATTTGTTATTTGAAGTGGCAAAATACCTAGACATTACAAAACGGTTTCATAATAAATAAATAAACATAGTGACAGACAAACAACACATATATTTGTAATTAATTTTTGCTTACTGAGGGAGTTCTGCGAAGTTCGATTTTCAAGTGCCATACACACTCTCGATGGTTTTTCTCCTTCCGTGCCATGCCTTCTTGTAGCTGACATCCACTTTCCAGCACTGTTTCACATCAGCCTGGATCATGCTGACACCGTACTCCACTTTCTTTTGAATCTTATTACAAATGAGATTTGAAATCATTTGGGCGGTTACATTTCTGTGGTCATTTTTCTCGACCGGTTACATACAAGTGTGTCTATCAGTCCATTCAGTTAGTTCCCACAGTTCATGAACTCGTCTAGACTTAGTCACCCGAGCCTTCCACACACAAGGCGGATCTTCACTAGATCTGCAGGCCACTTTTTATGACTTTTGATTTGAATCATTTGTCCGAATCTCCCGCAACCTATCGACGTTCCAAGCCATTAGAGCCATTTGGGCTTCTTTCTTGCTCCGAAAAACTATACCCAAACGTCTGGTCTCAATGTCGCCATTCCAGCGTGGAATGGCATACTCGTCCTCATTTATCCTGGACGGCTCCCATTCACCCATCTCGCGGTATACGTGCCGACCACCACTAGGAAAGGGGTGTTCTTCTTCAATGAACTCGGCTTCACTCTCCTCATTTACTGATCTATCTTATTCGGTTTCTGAGGTCTCGTCTGTGAAATCATCTTCACCGAGTGCGAACTCTTCGTCAATTTCTTCCCCGTCCTCATTCGCCCTTTCTCTAATTGGTGAGCTTGTCCCTTCTCCAAAATTACGTAGATGAGAAGTCTACGTGCCCTCAACATCATCCACTCCCCCGTAATAAGGAGTAAAATCCTGAAACTGTGTGGCCGGTGTAATTGCCTCCAACGATAAATGCAAATACACAGCGGACATAGAAGGAAAGAAATGAATCCACTGAAGAGCACTATCGTTATCGAGTCTTCCGGCATTCCACGAACCATCGGGTTGACGAAACATTAAAGTAATCTCTTGAATTGTCCAACCTTCTCCAAACCGACAATTTTCATTAATCATCTGTACCAATTGTTCATATGATATCCTCCCCGTAATAACAAATGAATCATCCGGACGATCCATAAATGAAACAAAATCTCTTAACTGTTCCTTCGCACATTGCCAATACAAATTAACAAAATATGGACCACAATACGCCATCTATACCTGTTGCAAAAAAAAACTTTCAATTCTTCCCAATTACAACAACACATAATGTCTAATCAAACGCCCAAAAAATTCAATTATTCTTTAACCCATCTTTTTACTCCAATGAAAAAACCAAAAAAAATATTCCCAATCGATTAATCCTCCAAAACCATTACTCATAATCCAACAATAACATACAATTCACCTATATTTCGAATAAATTGAAAGCCCTAATTCTAATTCTAACCCCAATTTCGAAAAACCCTAAGCCCAACAACAACCAACCAATACACAATTGATAATTTACAACAAAATTCCAATCTCCAATTTAACATATACACATAATCGATAAACAATTAACATTTCACAATCTTCAAACACCACCACATTCAAACATACTATAACAATTACCAATCTCCAAACTCCAAACAATGTCAAAAGTTGAGATAAGTCAATATACCTCGTGCGAATGAATTAACCGGAAATGAGGTTCGTGTTGTTGTTGTCGATTCACGTCGGGGTGGCGATTGGATCGAGTTTATTTTTTTCCGATAAGCTAGAGCTCTCTCTGAAGACTGTTGAAGAATGGTCGTGCAAATGAAACGAAGAGGAAGAGAAGAAAATTTGTTTTTTATTCCATTGTAAAACGTATTCATAAAATACGTTTTTATTTTTTTTTTTAAGAAATTGCATTTAAAAACGTATTATGATTATACGTTTTTTAATATTTTTTAGTTAATTAAAAACGTATTTATAATCTACGGTTTAAAAGATTTTTTTTAAGTTAAATTTTATAAAATAAAAACGTATTAACAAAATCCGTTTTTTAAAACCCTAAAAATCAATTTTAGGGTTTTTTAAAACGTATTTGTGAAATACGGTTTATGATTATTAATTTTTATTCAATTCGACTCTTTAAAATTTTTCAAAATTAAATAGAAAACGTATTCTATGAATACATTTTTCTAATAAAATGTTATTAAAAAAACGTATTCATAGAATACATCCTTTTTATTTTTTTCCACTCCTTTTTTTTATTTTTTATTTTTTATTTTTGTCCACTTAATTTTTTTTTTTAAAATAAATAAACTACCCCCAAGAAAGACTATGCCTTAAAAAACACTATTAAAAGAACACCCCATGAAGCAATTATATTTATCTATGATTAACTATACATTTTTTGAGTCTCCTGACTCCTATTATGAAGTAAAACACGTAGCTCCATCATTCTACTGGCTGAAATCATTTATTCACCCACTGGAAGCATTCAGAAGAATGCATAACAACTTCATTTAGCTCCAGATCTCGTCAATTTAATATCCAAGAGAATCTTGCAAAGGCATACCCCCACATTAAATTATGAGACGAAATCAAATAAGCTTAACTGAAGACTGCTGAAGGATAAACCATTGCCAATTTTGTCTTAAGAGGAGCAAAAGCCAAAAACAATCTCCAGGCATGCACAAAACAGACCCAACAAGCAATCGTCCACAACATCCTTAAGTCGTCACCTAAGATCAACCATTGGATCTCAAAACCTGGAGGTATTAAAACCTAGAGAATGTACATTCTAAGAATATGGACAAAAATCCAATAACAAAGAATGTAGTTTCAAGTTTCCCACAGAAGAAGCAAAAACACCCTTCAGTTTCTGTACATGAACCCAAAAAAACAAAAAAAAGGCAACTGTTTTCACGCATTCGTGATCGCCTTGTGAAGAACGGATGTGCCCTGGAATATCATCATTTGATACTTCTTCTGGTACTCTTCCAACTGCTCAGGGAAAAAGGGATGAAAGAAAACAAGAATTTAAGGATACAATAGTTAAGAATTACTAGAAAGTGTGCATAACACTATGTAAGTCAAAAATGTACATAAGAGAGAGAGAGAGAGGGAGAGAGAGGGGTAGAGAGAGAGAGACTGATAACAACCTCTTCTTCGCCAAGTTTTGCAAAGCCAAATCTATTCGTCCACAAAGATTCTGCCTCATCAGCAGCAGCCAGCACCAAACCTTTTACACCAAGGGACGCCAAAAGCCTCTCAAGGCAGAAATATAGAGACTGAAAATAGCCCTGCAAAAGGAGAAATGGTTTGTATAACATTATACGATCAACACCCAAAAAGCCTACTATTTGTATCCTAATCAGTTTCCAGTTGAGCAGGCCCCACCTTCCCTTGGTACTCGCTCTTCGTTGCCACAAGAGGAAGCTCAGCAATTTCTTCACCAAATATTCGCACAATCCCAGCAGACACCACAACCGAGCTGTCAATAATATGGCAAAGCTAAATAAAATAAATATCGTGCATATATATATATATATATATATATATATATGATTAATTAATTAATATAGTACTGTATTTTTTGGACGCACCCAACCATCAGCATAGCACAATACATGCCACAGAAATCCTGGTCCTTGAAAGCCCTCCTGCAGATCAGATCAATCAGCAATAAGTTGACAGAGAACAGAAGCATAAACAATACATGCAAGAAAAGTCCAACTATTACCCGTAAACCATGTGAGGAATGAGGTCAAGACGGCCCGTGCTTGAATCAGCAATTGGATCGAAACGGTCCTGAAGATATTTGCTCAACCGAAATCAAAGATCAGATAACTTTCTCGAGCGCAAATACCAACTTCAGGAGGTTAAAGATTTATGCAATAACAGTCGCTGGAGATTATAATTTAATTTGGTGCCAAAATTTGTAAACTCATAGCACATGTAATTTTGGTTGATTAACTGACCAATTTGGTGAGATGGAGAACATTGTTGCTTACATCATCAATAAGTTTCTTTCAAATAGCTAAAAATCTGACCAAATAGCTATAGAACATCAAAAAAGAAGGAAAGACTTACATGGAATATGGAAACAGCACCAGAGAGCCACACTCTTGTGTCCTCAGAAGCTTTTTTCCCGTTCAGCAGCCTCCACCTGATGTCAACATCTTGTGATGGACCTTTTGCATCAATATCTTGAGATGGACCTTTCGCTTCAATATCTTGTGATGGACCTTTTGCATCAATATCTTGTGATGGGTCTTTTGCATCAATATCTTGTGATGGGTCTTTTGCGTCAATATCTTGTGATAGACCTTTTGTGTCAATATCTTGTGATGGATTTTGGGTTTCAATTTTCCCTCTCAAAATATTCAAGAGATCTTCTGGAAGACTCTGTTCCCCAGCACCGATAAAATTTTGAAGAGCCACGTGGATAGTACTGCACCGTTCAGAACAAAACCACTCACCTTCCGGCAATTCCTGCAGTTAACACACCACCATTATTAGTTCGAAAAAGGGTTTTTTAATCCGATTTTTAGTTATGAGTATTGAAGAACGGAGAACCGAAATTGTTAGCGATAAAGTAATACGTACATCCAAGTCAGCAATCCCCTGCTCCTTCAGGCAGCTGATATGATACTCTTTCTCGCACTACAAAATAAATAATAAAACAAATTCAGACATAATATATCATG